TTCAGTTGCAGGATATGATTCCTTCTTTTCTAACGAATACCTGCATGAACAAATATTTTGCATTTTTGTATTCTATTGAAGTTTGTTAGTTTTCGCTTGGTGCTGCCAGTAGGCTTCCTTATGAATCATCTGGTTGTTGCCATGTTGGGTCACATTGGAAATTTAGCAACTTGACACCATTAGAGAAGGAGAAATGCTAATCCGTAAGTGACTATGCCCATGTCACAATTACTACAAATACCTCTATGAGTCCCTCTTGCTTTAAAATAAGCTGCAACGACTACTTATTGGGTCCTTGCCTGAGGTTGTGTTATGAAAACAGAGGTGAACAGAGCATATCAATGTGTGTTTGTTTTCTTTGGATTCCCAAAACCTTCCTGCTTTTGAACTCATTCACAAGCCTATATAGCATGAACCGTAAACAAACCCACAACTCTGAATATCAATCTATTACCAACTGATCAACTTCCCACTCTTTCTTCTATAACTTCTTCACAACTTTTTCAAGCCAAACCTTGATCTCTGTGGCTCTGATTTGATATTCTTGAATACAAACAGCTTCAAACAACATTTATTATAATCCTTCGTGTCCAAAAGACAACAGGAAAATAAGGATGTGAAAAGCTTGGTTTCAATTCATGCTATCCACTTCCTTCTTGCTACCATGATCACTGCCAACAAACATCCCAACGGCTTCTACTTCCTCGTGTATATCTTTGAAGCTTCTCTCTCGTTCTTATTATCTTACTCTGGAAAACATTTGTGTACGATTTTTGCAACGGGAGAAAAAGCAACCGGCACAAGAGGAGGAGGAAAGGTTTGAAGAAAACATAAATGTCACAGCAGGAAACACAATCATGGGGCTCCACATTCGTCTGTTTCTAAATCTTTTTCCAGTTACTCGTTCAAAAGTCTGATTTTTGCGTTCAGTTTCTGTATGGGTTTTTTTTTGCATAATACTACTACACAAATTCTGATCATAATCCATTTCTTTATCTCTATCAGAATTCCTTTTGGTCATGGCCTCTTATGATAGAGGAGCATGGCATGATCAAGCATCAAAGGAAGACCAAAATACGGAGCGTGGAGCCCAAGCTAAAAGATGGAAGTCCAATATTCTAAAAGACCCATTACAAGGCATTGTAGGCCCAATGACAAGAGCAAGGACCAAATCTATGAAAGAGGCGCTGAAAGAGTTAGAGCCCATTTATTTGGAAGAAGCATCTCTCAATCAGCCCATCAAGGGTCCAAACATGGTGATTACATTGCTAGAAGCCAAACAAGATGATGTACAAGGCCCATGTGTAGTCCATATTGAAGAATTCACTCAAAGTACCATGTGACAAGCATGTGCCTTGGAGGAGGAGCATAAGTGACGTTCAAGAATATTCAAGAAGCATCAAGAAGACGTCTTTATGTATTAGTTATGGTTTAATTTCGTTTTTTTTTTTTTAAGTTTCCATTTTTATTTGCATTAAATAAGGCCTTTTGGTCAAAGATTGCATAAGAATATTTTAGGTTAGTTTCCTATTTTTAGGTAGAAGACTTTTCCTTCAAGAAAAGATAATTTCCTATTTCCTTTAGCCTTAATAGGTGCCAACCAAGATAGTCAATCATCATTAAGGCACATTTATGGCATTTATGACCTAGGGTTTTTTGATTCTAGATTGTTCTATTGTTGCCTATATATAGGCTACGCTTTTTGTAATTGAATTAAGATTTGAATGAATGAATTTTAGAGAATTTTATTTCTCTTGAGTGAGCTTTGCTTGCCGCTTCGTATTCTCGTGGGAATACTCAACTGTATCAAAGACTGATCATCCTTGTGGTGTCTCCATGGCTAGGGTTGTAAGAGACAGGTTCTCTTAAGGTCCTACCTTTGATCGTTCGTCTAATTTCCTAACTTGTTTCTATCCGATCCGTATCCGTCCCTTATATCATCTTATGTTGCGTATTATGGTTCAATTTTGTTTTTGTCACATGTACAGATCAGAAGCTTGGTCAGCAAAGTTACCCAGTCATCTTGCCAAGTAAGTAACTCCAAGCCTTTTAGAAATATTAGGACTAACGATCCAAAGGGACAAACTTAAAAGAATCAAAAAGCACGTTCTAAAAATTTTAGGGACTAAACCTAAAATAAAAAGAGACTATAAGCACACTAATGATTATACTAATCCAAAATTATACGAAAAATTATAAGCACACTAATGATTATATTAAGCCAAAATCATAACATAAAACAAAAGACATAGCGTACAATCTTATGGCAATGTTTATGGGTAAACAGTAAAAGTATTCAGACCATAGTGCTTGAGAGGATACAGAACGATACAATCTGAGAGAGAATAGGAATATAGCAACACTGACTATAACCTTTGTTCACTCATTTATTTCCAGAAATTTTATCTTCAATATATATACACAATATGTTATTCACCTGAAAAGGAAAATTCTTAGGCACCCACCTTCGAATGATAACCTTTCTTAGACGACATACTCTGATACTGGCCTGCATGAAAAGTTCGCAGGGGAAAAAAGTTTAATTAGTGAAGGCTCTTGATAATTAAACAAATAATATTGCAGCAGATGAACACAAGTAATTAATCCTTTTATATTTCTTCTCTGTATATGTATATATGTATTTTAATTCAAAAAAGTATGAAGGCGACCTTTTTTTTTTTTGGGCCAACATATGAAGGTGATCTTTAAAGAGTAAAGACTTGCTTAATATATGGGTTTGAATAATGAAACTTACCATTGCAATCCATCGTAACTAAAAAAAAAAACAATATATTTTTCTCATCTTAAATATAAAACCTATTTTATAATATAATTTATATTAAAAAATAGGTTATATATTTAAAATTGAAGGGAGCATCAATAAAAGGTACTTGAAAGGATACAATAAAAGGCACTCACCACCAACTGCTCGCAACCTGACGTGGAAACAATGCGGGGCTGCAAGCAAAGTTTGGCCCGGGGAAAAAAACCTTAATCAGCGAAGGTCTTGATTTGGTTGTTGGGGGGGGGGGGGGGGGAGGCAAAAAGAAAAGATACTGCAGCAGATGAGCACAAGTAATTGCCGCGGAATGGTTCAAGTCCGTTAGTCTCTTTTAAAATTTCTCTTATGTGTTGCTTTTCAAAATAAAATGTCATTATATTATTTTTATGTATGATTTAATATATGTGTATTGGTTAATTTTCTTATAAAAAAAGTAGTTTTTAAAAAAATATATATATACAATAATTTGTATGCATTTACCATTTACTAAAATATTAGATCTTGGACACCACTTAGAATTCAATGTCGGGTCTTTGAAGTATCTTTGATTAACTACATTAATAAACTATAGTTAATTATTCCTTGTATACGTTTTAATAAATTTATTGCATATAATAGCTTAACGGTTTTTAACTAGGCATGAAAAAAAAAAATTTATATCAGTTTTCGCCAAATACTCATTAAACTCCTTCATTAAATAATAGAAACAGATCGTACAAAGGCCAAACGAAAACAAAACAAAGGGTACAGAACCCACAACCGGCCGACAGCAACCCAAAAAAACTTCACACCAAATAGTAGCAAAAAAATTTTATGTCAAAATATTTACAAATTTATTATTTCTCTTCATTTATAATTTTTGGTCCCTCAAGTATATTCTTATTTTGTTTTGGTCCTCAAATTTCAAATCATAGTCTTTTACCTTTCAATTTTTTTTATTTAAAATATTGATCCTATAATTTAATAAAAACTTGGATTATTTTGTTTCTTAAAAGAGTAAAACCTATAATTTGAAATTTGAAGGACCAAAGTCAAAATAAATAAAGACAACATTATGGGACAAAAAAGTATATTAACCCTAAAAGAATATATATATATATATATATATATATATAAATAAAACGTACTTGAAAGGATGCATAACGTTACAATAAATACTCACTCTCTGAGCCGAACTCTAGTTCCCATAAGTGCTTGTTTAGCTACGCTCCGAAGCGATGGCTGCACGGAAAGTTTAGCCAGGGTAAAAAATAAAAAATTAATCAGCGAAGGCACTTGATATTGAAAAAGAAAAAGGAAAAAAAAAAAAAAGATACTGCAGCAGATGAGATGAACGCAAATAATTAATCTTTTTATATTCTATAAATCAATAAATTTGTTACGGAATGGGTCAATTAATGCCTTCTCTTACGTGGTGCTTTTCAAAATAAAATATCATTATATTATTTTATGTATAATTTAATATATGTGTGTGTGTGTGTAATTCTCTTACAAAAATGTAACTTTTTCTAAAAAATATATACAAGAATTTGTATGCATATATCATTTACTAAAGTATTAGATCTTGAACACGGCTTAGAATTCAATGTTGGGTATTTGAATTGTCTTTGATTAACTACATTAATAAACTAGTTAATTATTCCTTGTATAAGTTTTAGTAAATTTATTGCATATAATAGCTTAATGGTTTTAATTAGGCATGAAAAAGAATAATTTATATCAATTTTTGACAAATACTCATCAAACTTCTTTTATTAAATAATAGAAACAGACCATACAAAAGCCCAAACTAAAACAAAACAAAGGGCACAAAATCCACAACCACCAGACAGTAACCGAAAAAAAACTTCAAACTAAATAATAAATCACAAACAGGAGGAACAAAGATTTATATGTCAAAATATTTACAAATTTACTATTTCTCTTCATTTTCAGTTCTATATGGAACAGGACGCATGCAGGCAAGCATCACAATATCAAAATTTTCTTACATGCTATTTGTACTCTTTTGGTGAAATATGCTATGCGTACTTTAAATTAAAAATTCTACAAATTTTAAAACGCCATATGAAATATTGGGAAAATAAATTATTCACAGATATTATAATCTCATGATGAATATTTATGTGGATGCAGCGCTCGGGTCAATTAGAAAGTATATCAGACTTTGCATGCAAGTGAGAACAACTTTAAAGCTTTAAGTAACTGATTGAAACTACTAGACAGAAATAATTACCCTTCGAAATTTTGATGAAAGAAGATCCTTAGTAGCTTCGTCTTCCCACTCCAATTGATCCAACAACTCTTCAGCATATCCTATAAAGCATTGTAGATTTTTCAATGTATTTTGAGAAAATGGGAGCTTCTTCAAATTGCCGCAGTGAAACACTTCAATCTCCTTCAAACAAGGAAACTCTAATGCTGTTCTACAAATGCTCCTTAAGTTCCTCAGATATCTCAATCGAAGATAACTGAGACTGCAAAATAGATTATTTTTCTGTATCTCAGTGCCAAAATCCTCGCTACTTATAACTTCCACCAATGAATCACAATAGGCTAATGTAAGGAATTCAAGGTTTGGAGCATGTATAAGCCAGTTCAAGTCAAGCATATTATGAAACCCAGTGAGAACCAACTTGCGAAGGTTTATATAATCATGTGCCCTAAATAAGCTCCTCGGAGTCTCCGCAACCTCACAAGCATCAACTGTTAATGTTTCAAGATGCTTCATATTTCCAAGTGATGAGAACAAGTCGCGGAGTGATGAGTGTACTCTTGTAACAAATAGCTCACACATGCATCTTTGCAATTTTGGGGAGTTCAGTATTTTGTCGACAGAGGAGGTGCTAAAGACATAAATGCGTATATCTTGAAGACGATCTAAGCCTTCTAGCTCATTCAACAACACATTTTCATCAATCCCTCCAATTTTTGATCGTCTCGTGCTAAAAGCTTGAAGGGATAACAAACCGGATATAACTTTCTCTGGGAATTCAAGCACGTGCATTCTGTCCAGCAACAAGACCTTCAGCTTCTTCAAATTCTTCAACTCCTCTGGCAATTTTCTTATACGAGTATTGTATAGGTTCATGTGTTCCAGGTTTACAAAGTCCCCTATTTCTGATGGTACATCTCTTATTCCATAATTAGAAGAAAAGTCCAGAACTTTGACAGTACTTGGAAGGACAAATGCCTCAGTTGGAAAGGCCTGTATCCAAGTATTCCTAATAAGCAAAGGCACGAGATTAGGACAATGGGGTTTTTGTGAGAAGTTTGTGCTCACATCACCCCCACCCCACATTGATAGCTTTTCTACCTCTTTCCACTTTGGATCATTGTAAACTTCAAGCCCAGTTGTCATGGAATAGCTTCTTACAATGAATCTCATCGTATCCCCGTGATCATTAGCTAGCCAGAGAGCTGTACCTCTAATCACATCATGCATCTTAACTGTATCATCTTTCTCACCATTTTCCAATAAGCACGCATACTTTAGAGTTGAAATTATATCTTCTCCTTGCTTACGTGCTTCATGAATATTGCAATCAAATTCAGCCAAGAAACCTTCTGCAATCCAGAGCAAAATAAGCTCCTGTTTTTTAATGTTATGGTCCTCAAGGAACAGGGCACAATAACAAAAACATGATTTGCAGGTATCATTTGGCAATCTATTATAACTAAATTCAAGTAAGAGAAAGACTTCATCAACGATACCTGGGACCTTTAATTTGAGGGATTCCTCTTCAAAATTTTTATACTACGCTTCCATTCATCAAGAGTCTTCTTGTTAACCATGGCACGTCCAACAGTACAAAGAGCAAGTGGCAACCTTTACATTCTTCCACCACTTGCTTTGCAAGAGACGATATAGTAGGTTGTTCAAGAGTAGTATCACCCACTTTCTCCTTGAACAAGTCATATGCTTTATCTAGTGGGAGACAATTTACTTTGATGCTTCCATCTGCATCCGCACCCATTCGACCGCATACCTCTTCTAACTGAGTTGTAAATATTATCTTGCATTCATGACTATTAGGGGAAGGAACCGCCAATTTTAACAGGTCAATCCTTTCCCACACATCATCTAATAACAACACAAGTTCCTGCCCTGCATTTTGAATTTTGGAACAAATTACAGTTAATGACCCCCTGTCATTATTCTTTTCTTCTACATCTTCTTCCAAATAGAATAAATATTAGTGAATTTTGTTAAAAAAATTACTTTTTACCTTGGTATTTAAATTTAGGAGAAAACATATAAATAAATTAAATAAACATAAAATATTTAAAACTCAATAGGTTCACAAATTTTATGAAATTACTAAATAAAAATATTAAAAACTTTAAGTTATTAAAATCATTTAAAACAATTTAATAAACAAACATTGAAAACTATCATAATGAGAGTGTCATGTTATTAGAGCCTTCTGTTTTTTTTTTTTTTTTGTGAATTAGGCTCATTCAGCCCTGGTAGGACCCCAAGGACAACTAGTCTCCACCAAGTATTTAATGATGTTACATGCCCAAAGCCCAAACTTGAGACTTTTGATTAAGCTAGAATGACTCTTTACTAGTTGATCTAAGCACTTGGAGGTTTACTAGAGCCTTTTTTTGTGTCATGTTATCTTAAATAGTTTAGGAAAAAACAAAAATAAAATATATAAGAATGGGTATTGGAGAAAAATAAGAAAATTAATACTTTAGTATTTGTTTATTAAATTATTTTAAGTGATTTTAAGAACTTAAAGTTTTTAATATTTTTATTCAGCTATTTCAAAAAAATTTGTGAACCTATTAAGTTTTAAATATTTTATATTTATTTATATATTTTCTTCTAAATTTAAGTACCAAGATAAAAAAAAAATTTCACAAAATCTACTTATATTTATTCTATTTAAAAGAAAATGTAGAGTAACGGAAAATAAGCAATAGATATGATGAGATGGGGTCGTTAACTGTAACTGGATCCAAAATTCAAAAATGCGGGGGCACGGCAAAAGTATATGAAACTGGGTATTAGTTGTAATTTTTGTTAGAAATGAAAATAGGGATAGTTGAACTCGTCCATGACCTGAGCGAGTTTCATTTTTTCACTTTTAAAAAAATAGCTGTTAGAGTGAAAGTTCATCATAAAATGAACGAGTTTTAAAAAGATATAGTATATCGGTAAATAGGTCTCATAGTATAGCATTTGGGTAATTACTTTTACCATTTATGGTATTTTGATAAAATCGCCACATACTTCGTGATAAATGCTGATTTTAATATATTGTTTGATATCTTTTTAGAGATATTTATCAATTAAAGTGGGATAAATTGTATTGATTGTAGATATTTTGAATCAAATATTAATTGCATGAAATTAGAGATTTAATAGAAGATCTTATCATATTTTTATCTCTTTTTAAATAATTGATTTTGGATTTTATGATAGCATCTCATTTTATCTTTTGCAGGCCTTAAAAATAAGGAAATAAAGATCATAGAAAGCTGAAAGGAAGGAAATAAAAAATGCAAAAAGAAGGAAATTGGAGACACAGCTTGGATGGCATCAGATATGATATTATCTATATTTTTATGGATTCAAAAAGAGGACACAGAAATTATCCACATGCCTATCTTTGAGATTTGATTTGGATATATATTATATCTCCTCCTTCACGCAGATATCACAGCCCCCCCCTATTCCATTCCTATATATATCACCGTACACACACTCATATGGGACGCCTCACACCACCAGACCTCACTCACAAGCCTTCAGCTCCTCTCCGCATATACCCCGCCACGCCATCAGTTTTCATCTTTTTTCCCTTTCGGCCACACTCATACCCCACTCACACACCGTTTTCATATACCCCCCGTCCCCACCTTCAATTCCCATATATTCCCTTCGGCCAAATACACACCTCCATATCCTTCACACCCGCACGCGTCCTCCCTCTCACGCCATACAACTCCTCTTCCCTTCCATCAGGACCCGTGACGCCACCGCATCCATATTTTTATACGGCCAATCCTCACATTCATCTTTCACCGTAGCCTCCATGGATTCTCATTGTTTCAAATATATTGTGGATTCTTCTAGAGCTATGAGAGGCTAATTCTATTGTGCTTCTTGAAGATGGAGGAGTAGCTTGAGCTTGGAGCTTCAACTAGGGGAGTATTTAGTTTTCCAATTAATTTTCTTCTGAACTTCATTAGATTTTTCCTGTGTTAGGAATATTTTCATTTGATTTGGAGACTGAGATTATGTGTTATAATTTCTGTTAATTGGATTTTTGCAATTTAATTTGAGTTATATTACTTGGGATTTGAATTTATATATATTTCCTTTGCATGCATTAAAATTATCTTATCTGGCGCGTTGTTAGATTTTATGATTGAGATGTATTGCAATTGAGTGTCTCCGTGAGCATTCTTTGAGAGGGAAACAAGTTTTATTAACTCAATTTAAATTGCACGTCAAGTGGTTTTTAAAAGTAACTTAATAACTTGATTACTATCTAGCGTTTAGGGTAGTTAAGTGTTGAGTTTACTTGACCCAAACCGTGTTTGGGGTTGTTTTTCTTAACTTGGTGTATTATTTTACTCCCATATCTTATTAAGCAAGGATAGCTACATTCCGTTTTCAAGAAGCATTCTCATCACTGATTTTCTAAAATTCAAATTTGCATTTTTCATTTTCTCTTTATTAAAAATACAAAAAAATAGTTTAGATTTATTTCTTATTTTCATAATTAGTTTTATTAATTGAAAAATCCTTTTTCAAATCCCCTTTTTTTATTCTTTGTCACTTAGTTAACTTAGGAATTAATAAAAGGCTTCTCAAGAGACTCGACCCGAGTTGTGCTTTATTGCATAATTTGGTTTTATTTTTGATTTAACCCAAGGCGACTAAAAAGGTTTAAATCAAGTGGCGCCGTTGCCGGGGAGCCAAGTAATTGGTTCCTTAGTAAACTAAGTATCAGTTTTTTTTTCTTTTTCTTTTCTTTATATTTTCTTTGAATTTTTTTTTTCTAGTTTAGGTTGCATTTGCATATCATTAAAAAAAAATTTAAAAAAAAAATTCTCATTTTATTTTAATTATTTCATTTTTTTTGTCTTATTTGCATATCTTGCATTGCATTTTGCATCTTTGCATTAATCTTCATTCATTTTCGCACATTGCTGTTCTGAATTTCTTTGTGTATGACCAGAGATAAAGAAACCCTACTTGACGATCCTGAGTTTGACATACCTTTGAAACAACTTAAAAGGAAAAATAAGAAAAAGGGTCAAAAGAGTGATAGGGAACTTCTTTTAGAACAACACATTCCTAGTACAGCTAACCAAGTTTTAGACATGGCTGATCGTACTGAGAATAGGGGTGATGGTGAAAATAGTGGAAATGAAAATAGGGGCAATAGGGACAATAATGGTCATGGGGAAAATAACGAACCTAGGAATAATGGTGAAGATCAGAGGAGTCTTAGAGAAATAAACAACTCTACTGTGAATTTTGATCCTCATGGTTTTTACAATTTTAATGCCAATTTTGAAATTAAAGGTAATTTGATTAATGCTTTGCCTAAATTTTTTGGCCTTTCAGGAGATGACCCCTATGGACACATTGAGACCATGATGATGGTGTGCTCCACCATGAAGCCCCAAGGTGCTGATGTCGAGGAAGTTTTGAGGAGAACCTTTCATTTCACCATGGAAGGAAAAGCTAAAGAATGGTTAAGAACACTTCCTCAGCACTACACTACACTTACGTGGGAGCAACTCAAGACAGCATTTCTTGAAAAGTTCTTTCCTGCATCCCGGTCTTCTAAGCTTAAGAAAGCTATTTTTGGTGCACAACAAGATGAAGGAGAATCGTTTTATGAATATTGGACCAGGTTTCTCACCATGATGGCTCGTTGCCCTAATCATCAGATTTCCAAATCTAATTTGGTTCAGTATTTCTATGAGGGTCTTTTGCCACTTCATCAGAGAACTATTAATGCTGTTGCTAATGGTTCGATACTCGATCTCACTCCACAAGGTGCCTGGGACTTATTTGAGAAAACTGCTACAAATGATCAACAGTATGGCACTAGAGACAGACAATTTGTGAGGGAGGTAGCTTCATCTTCTTCTACTGATGAATTGAAATTATTTATGGAAAAAATTGATAGAAGACTAGAGAGGCTAGAAAATGACAAGGGTCCAAAACAATGTAATGCCATGGGTACTTCTCAAGCCTTGGTAGCCCCAAGTTGTGAATTCTGTGCTTCCCCTATGCATCTTAGCAGTGTTTGCCCATCCAGAATTGAGGAAGTTTCTGCAATGTATCAAGGCGCACTAACAATCAGAAATGGGACCCATATTCCAACACATACAATGAGGGGTGGAGAGACAACCCTAGATTTAGTTGGAGGAATAATGAGGCTAGAGGACAGAATCAATTTTCACAAGGCAATGTTGGATCTGGTATTCCTTCTAACCAGTTTCAAGACACCTCAAGAATGGTTATTCCACTCCAGGATAATTCACTCTCTCAACCAAAGAGTGATGAGACCAGCCAACTTCTGAAGAGTATGTCTGCTCAGCTTAATAATATGGATAACCGATTAAGGGAAGATAAGGCCCTAAATGATAGCCAATTCTCCTCTATTGCTTCGATTCTCCAAAAGATGCAGGGAGATAAGGTGAATGATAGTGCTCAATTGACAAACCTTTGTAAAAGGTTTGAGGCATTAGAAATGAAGAATAACACTTTGACATCTCACCTGACTCAAGTTTCCAATACTGTGAGCGATTTGCAAGCCAAGAATGGGGGTGGACTACCCTCAAATACTGTGATCAATCCCAAATCCCTTAATGCCATCAATCTGAGAAGTGGGAGGGTGGTCAAATTCTCTAATGAGGATGACGAAGAAGTTGATGAGGAAATTGAATGTGATAGCTCTCCGTTAACTCCTATGAAGCTGAAGCACTCTGAAAGCACCAAGAAGAAAGAACTGATCGACAAAAATCTGAAATTACTCAAGATGGAGCAAGGTCTACTGATGGGCCAGGATCTCAAGTGGCAAGTCAACCACTTCTGGAAGAGATCAATGAAAAAGCTCCAACCACACATGAGAAAAGCGAATCAACTATGCAAGGGCCTTAACGCCAAAAGGTAAAGAGGTAAAGATTTCTGACATTCCCTTTCCTAATGCTTACTTTAGAGGTAAGAAAATGCATGATGATCAAACCCAAAAGGAAATGATTGAATTCTTTAGTAAGCTAGAAGTAAATATGCCTTTTCTGAACATGATTAAAAGCATGCCTGCATATTGTAAGTTTCTAAAGGATTTGTGCACTCACAAGAGAAAGTTTAGGCCTAATGAAAGAGTTCAACTGAGCTCTAATGTGTCAGCTATCTTTAAGCCTCAACTTCCCATAAAGTGCCAAGATCCAGGTGCCTATACCATTCCCTGTACCATTGGACCAGTGAACATAGCCGCTGCACTGCTAGATTTAGGGGCCGCAATTAATGTAATGCCTAAATCTGTTTACATCGCCCTAGGAATCAAAGCAGTCAAACCCACCAGTGTTGTGTTACAGTTAGCTGATAGGTCCATTAGGCACCCTGATGGTATCTTAGAGGACATATTGGTTAAAGTGAAAGACCTTGTTTTCCCAGCTGATTTTTATGTCCTAGATGTGTCTAATGAGTTAGCTAGTGAGTCCACTCTCATCTAGGTAGGCCCTTCCTTAGAACAGCAAATACCATTATCGATATGAAAGAAGGTGCCATAACCATGGAGGTTGGGAATCATAAGATATGCTTTAACATGTATGAAGCCATGAAACACCCATATGAGGATTACTCTTTGTTAGGTGTTAATGCTATTGATTTAGCCATTGAAGAGGCAAGGGATGATTTTGAATTGAATTTGCATGATGATAACTACTTGCCTATGCCTGTTGAACATGATTCTTCTGAGCTTGATGATGCCATGTCTGCTTATGATGAGTATTTTTCCTCTCTTCCTTCTATATACTCTCTTTTTGATACTTGTGATAGCGACATGATATATTCTGATTTTGAGATTAGCAGTACCCTCTCCACTTCACAGGTTTATACCTTTTCTCTCTGTGATACTGACTCTGCTTTTGCAAGTGACCTTAGTTTGGGAAAGGATTTGCTTCTTGAATGTGCAGATACTTTTATGGAATCTGAGATTGTAGCTGAAAGTGATAATGTTGGCTCAACAGAGAGGCCAATTCCATCTAGTTCCCCTACTCATGTCTTTGATCAGCAACCAAGGCAATCTTTACCTAAGGATAAAGGGCATTATGAGAACACTTCACTTGCACTTTCTAATCACTCTATTATTTCTCCTCATACTTTGAAATACTTGCAAGATCTTGTTTCTAGTTGTGATGCAGGTGTGAAGGATGAAAATCCCAAGTTTGTTGGTGCTATAGGTCAACCTGAAGTTGACTCAACACTTGGGAAGGCCAATGAGCAAAAGGTAGATTCAAGGGAGCTGAATCTAAGCTACCTAGTTGAGGCTACAAAAGGGAGTTCTCTTTGTTCTCTTAAACTCCCTAAGTTAATCCCTTCTATTGTTCAACCCCCGACCCTTGAACTGAAGTCTCTACCTTCTAATCTTAAATATGCATTTCTTGAGCATGATGAACACTTGCCTGTGATTATTTCAAATGCTTTATCCGCTGATGAAGAGGCTAAGTTGCTTTGTGTGCTTAGGAAAAACAGAGAGGCGATTGGGTGGACATTAGCTGATATTCCTGGGATCAGTCCAACTGTTTGTACCC